ATAAAGAAAATCAAGGTATTTAGTGAAAGATACAGTCACTTTAAATATGTGTACACACATGTGACATCATCCTTTTGAAAGATGACAGTAACAATTAACAAATCATCATTGTAATCATTTCAGAGAGGTTATTCTTATTCTTAAATACATTCTGCTTTTTTCTCTTCAGTTTGGTGTCACAAATTATCTAGCCTTATTTGGCAATGGGACAGTTTTGAAGACAACTTGTGTTTGTTGCTCGTTATGTGAACAATAAACCTTTTTCAGATTGCAATTTTCAAATGCAAACATCAGAGCTATATGTTGTAAATGTATGGGTGATTTGAAAATTATAGTAACCTGTAATCTAGATTGAGACTCCCTTTGATTCCTGTCCTTTGTTACCTTTTTTATGTTCTTAATATCCAGTCTACCAGTAGCAACAGTATTGTTTTTCTCCTTTTGTCATTGTTGGCATACTCAGGACAGTTTCATCCATGGCAGGCTAAGGTTTTGAGTACTTAGCATTTTGCCTAAAGAAATATATATATATATTTCAAAAATCTTCTTGCTGGTTCCCAAGCAAACCGTATTTGTAAATGCTACAATGCATTTTCAAGACATTTGTTGGGAAGCTCAATAGATTTTTTGCAACACAATTGCTTTAGTTGCTGTGAGAATCAAACAATGGGAGCCTCTAATGAATTAAAGTGTTCATTATAAGCAGATGAAGGACAGAAGTTCAACTGAATGATTTCCATGGTGACACAAGTGAATCCTTGCATGCTCTTCCTTTCATTTTCAGTTGCTTCTTTATCCTTAAAGATAGTACGTATGTGTTGATCTGACATCTAACCCAGCAGGCACAGGGACGCAGGTCAAAAAAGTGCTCAGGATGCCAGTCCTTCAAAGGGCATCCAGACATACACACATTAACTTACAGACATGGAAATTTAGCAATCCTAGTTGATCTGGACAGCATGAGTGCGTGGGTCTGTGGGAAAAAGAACACAGAGAAAATCCAGTGCCATCACATGGAGAATATGCAAACCCTATACAGAAGGTGCCCTAGTCTGGAAGTAAACCCATGACCTAAGAACTATGAGACAGCCCTGTTAACTGCCATGGCACTGGGCCGCCCCTGAAATGCAGTATTAATAGTAAAGACAGACTTGTATTATAATTTGCAAGAGAGGGAAAAAGCAGGTGGGGGAAGCAATGAATTGTACTGTTAATTTAGTCATTGAACACTGCAAGCTCTGATTAACCACATTGTAAATAGCTGAAGTGAATTGTTAAACAATATGAAAAAAGCACAACAGGAAACATTGAGTTTCCATCACCTGCCTTTTGCTGAGGCAGGCAAACATAGGACATACTAATTTAAAAGCATGTAAAACTGTTGTCACTGAGTTTAAAAAGTCTGGAATTAAAGATGCTCACTTACTGCATTGTAGTATTGAAGTATTCAGCTGGAAATCGTACATGAGTTATTGAGAAAATATAGTTGTGTTAATACCACAATTTGTAATGTGTTAAAATGACCATTCCCCTTAAAAATTCGAGGAATTTTCACTACTTGATCTATTAATGTAAGGGCTGTAGTCACCTGGGTGAGTTTCACTTCAATGGTGGATAGGGTTGGTCCATTCCTGTTAGTAGAAAACGATATACCTTGGATCATTTATGTCCTTTAAATACAATAAATTATTTTCAGTGTAAAATTGCATTTATTTTCACAAAGAATGTAATCTCCATTATCAATAAATAATACACTGTTATGCTAACAATAAATGTTTTGCTCCATTCAAGAGATACTGTAAGTGGATTTTAAGAGCTGCTAAAAATGTTATAAGAAAGGTAAAGAAAATCAAAGTGCATAAGCAGAGTGTTGACTTGATGTAAAATAACAGCTTCTCCTCAACCACAGAGATGAGCTCATATACAGTATCTCCTTTTTACCCAGTGACTTGTCAAAAATAAAAGCCTGTCTGATCATCTACATGTGTAATACTGTGGGTTTCCAGGCACAGGCGGCCACGGTGTGTGATTCGCTGGCCAAAGATGATTGACACTGTGTGCACAAGTGGCACTTGTGGTGGATTAGTTGTGAGTGAAATGATTGCTTCATTTAAACTCTGTACTGTGCATGTTGAAATCCGCTTAATATGGAATTTTACGACTGAAGGGAAATTTTAGTAGCTGAGCATAAAAATAACAGGAGCATAATGTCTCTGAATGTCATAAACTGTTTTAATTTATTTATATAAATATATTATACATACTGTATATGGCTGATAGTGTTAGTTGAAATAAAAATACACAACAGTATCCCACTTTCTTCATATACATTTTATGCATCAAAGTCAGTCTTTCACTTAGTCACTTACTGTGATTATTTTGAAAACGTTTTGTCTTGCTCGTTCTGACAATATTATGTTTATAGACATTATAAAAGGCTATAATAAAATGATATTAATTTAAGGATCTAAATATAATATATTTCTTTGACTCATTCGCTCGTGATTTTTATATATTTGGCTTTGTACGAAAAAAAACAAAAGTAATTCTCTGATCAGACTGGGTGCAGTGTGCTACATTACAGTCCATTGCCTGTTACCACTTTAAGAACAATAAAAGTTTTTTAAAAAACAAAAAAATATATCTAAATGTTTCCAAAACATCCACTTGTGATATTTTAGCTGCTTAGTCTAGGTGGTATTAAATCAGTACAATTGTTTTTTACAATAACAGCAAGTGATGTCCTTAGGAAAGGATACAACATTATAACTTATGAAGTACAGTAAATAAACTTTATAATGTTAGAAAAGTACGTTAAAACTATAACCCACTGTAAGTCACCAAGTTAAAGACTTTGATGCATAAAATATTTAAGAAGAAGGTGGAATACTGTTGTGTACTTTTTATATTTAGCTACCCCTACCATCTACTGTGTATTGTATTACGTTATACTACTGTTTTTATTTTCAGGTACCAAAATTTACCTTTAGATTTTCTGTATGTGAATGTAAACCCGAAAGAGGCACATCATGTTCACAAGCTAAAGTATAACAATAAACTTTTATATATATTCAACTCTTGCACTCTTGCTTTTATAAAATATACCTACTTTTTAATTTATTTCAATGTTTAACATGCTATAATATACACGCTATATTTGCTATTATTCTATAATGCTATATTTCTGCTATAGAAATGCTATAATTCTGTAACTGGAAAAAGGTTGCCCCTCAGCATTGACTGGGATTCAAAACCAGGTGTTTTCTGGTGACAGCTCAAATGCTCCACACACCATGTTAAGTTTTCACTCCTCCATCTGGTGGTTTTACAAAGTAGTGGAGCCCCACAACTGAGTATTTCTAAAAACCTGAGGTACCCTGCTGTGCATTCTGAATGGCGGGATCTGTAAATCTAGACTTTGCTGTCTTCATGTAGTGAGGAAGCAAATGCCAGTAGCCTTTGGTATAACAATTTGTCTCAGTTGCATCTTGGCAGACACAATAGGCTCACCCCCAACCTGAAAGAGATTCCAGCCACTCTAGGCAAGATCACAGTGTTCCACTCAGAAGGGGCAAATGTGGTAACTATTTTTATTTGTCAAATGAAAGTTGGTAATGCAGTGGCCACCCTTAAATACTGTATTCTTTTCAAACAAGTTTGGATTAAAACAATGCTGATAATGTTAGAATTTTATTGATATAATGAAACGTATAAAAAGAGACTTACTGTATGTCTGTATGTCTCTTTATATGTCTCCTACATGTCTCTCTGTATGTCTCCCATACACTACTGTAGTAGGATATGATACAGCAGTGGCCCCTAATCCCAGTCTTATAGGTCAGTTGTGTGTACAAGTTATCAGTCCTCATCAGCACTTCAGGTTGCTGGTGTTTTAAAGAAGACTTTAAAAGATGCAGATACACTGGCACTTCAGAAACAGGACTGGAGACCCCATGTTGTTAAGTACAATTTTCTGAGCATGAAGTAACGATGCTTTCTATACATCTTATACATTACCCAGAGGGGTGCAGCTTCAGTGGAGGATGATATGGGTCCCCTCCTGTATTGTATGTAAAACACTCTGTAAATTGCAATTAATTATTATTAAAAATTTAAAATTCATTTAATTTATGTTTTGAAGCTTATTTTTATGAGTTGTACAGTATTATTTTACCACATGATAGTCTGCTATATTTTGAGTTCTCTCAGGATTTATTTTGATAAATTCATTTTTATTGGGTGATTTGTATTAACACTTTTAACTTATTGCTCAGTATCCTTTCAGAAACACTTAGAATTTAATGTGCTTTCATGCCCTGGAAGAGACAGCAAGACATATATTTCCACAGATAATACACATGACTAGTTGCTCATTCAAATCAATACTTTTCCTATGCCTTTTTCTGTTCATTCAGAAGTCACCCTCCTTTGTTTAGGTAATCCAATATTGTGTCTCCTTTGCCATCAATTAAGATATGCTAGGTAAGTAACTAGGGCAATACATGTCTATTTTTAATCTCCTTGATGAGAGTATACGTATGGGGTACTACAATTTCATTGTAATTACTGAGTAGAAGAAATAATGACCAAGACATAAAAACTGTGGCTTGGCTACAGAAAAAAAAATGTCTACTGAATCTGATTCACAAGAAGATATAAAAAAACAAAAAACAAAAAAAATTGGGCTGACAAATGTAATAAAAACAGTAGATGCAGACTGATAAAATGTGTAAAATTGTTTTCATTTCGGGAACACTAGTTGAAACAGAATTGGTATTTTCAAAACTATTTTTCACTATACTGCCTGTTTATTATTTCCCTTATATTAGCTTCCTTTTCGACTGGTATTTACTATAACAACATTAGTCTTCCATATTCTTCAATTGGACAGATAAAAATGAAAACAAACACAAAGCCATGTATTCACTCATTCACCTCCAATTGCCGCCTCTTGCACCATCCTTCTCTTTTAATAATCCTTTGTTATATTTATTTTCCAGGTGTTTGAGCCATTGCTGAAGCGATATGCAGACCTGGAGAAGAAAGTCTTCCTGGAATCAAAGCAATGAAGTCAGTCAAACAACTACTTTTCTCCTGTGTACCTTATTGATTTACAAGTTAATAAATAAATTAAATCTCAAAAAGGAAAAAGTACAGATTATACAGTATATGGTATATACACTTGAAACCATTTTAGCTGAAATTCATTTAGAGGCACAGCTTATGTTCAATGTTTAAATGTTTAATAGCAAATATTTGCACTGGTTGGAAATCCATCTTGTTCATGTGCAAATCTTCCTTTTAGTGATGTTGTGAAAAGGGTGAATAAGATCATATTCATAACAATTGGTTTCTTTCACACACAAAAAATACAATGGATCCTTTGAGATGGTAGCAGCGGGCATATTGGTTGATTTTCACTTTCATGTGTTATTAGCAGTGCTTCATGCTGTCATCTGTGAAATTTAATTTTGTATTGTTAGAGAAATAAAAGCCTCCTTTTATGTGAATGAAATTGTCATATTCATGGTAGCAAGCACAAAGTAGGCTAGTTTAAACATTTTTTGCTATGTATTAGTAATCTGCATTTGCACAGGACTTTTATTGTAGACATTTTATTAATAATTCACAATGTACTGAAAACTGCAATCCATTTCCATACCAAATATAAAAACATGCTCACCTTTAATAAATGATACAGTATATACTGTAGCTGAAACTTCAGACTATTTTGTGCTTAATGTTTCATTTTGTATGTTCTTTACACCAAATCAAAATATATTTAGAGCTTACAGTTGAATTGGTCATATATAATAAATGTAACAAAATGTCTTTAAGGCTGGAAATGTCTACATTGTAATTAATAACATTGTGTTTAAGAATTTTGCTTTGTATCTTTTGCTAAAGAAAAAATATCCATGCATTAAACATCAATTTTAAATGCCATTTTATTTTCATCTCTAAGACAAATCTAGGTGATTCATACTCTTGTACTCTTTACTCAGCATTAAAAGTAATTTACATTTATAACTGCAAAAAATCAAAGTTTTCAACAAAATTACAATCATTTTTGTTGTGGATGCAGTGACATTGATCCGACATGACAAACTTAAATTTGGTAGTGGTAACCAAACTTCTAACTGATCCAGCCATTTCTTTAAAACTATATACGAGAATAGAAATGTTCTAGAAGAAAATAGACCATCTAACCCATCTAACCCACTTGGGTTGTCCAAGGATCTCCTGAAATAGTGATATTGGGTTTACCAATCTTCTTTGTTAGTTATTGATAGATACTAATGTTTAATATTTTAAAAAATATGATTATTAATCTTTCACAAAGAAAAACTTAGTTTGTTTTCTCATGATATTCTATAGACTGTAATGCAGTGGTTTTCAAGTAGGGGCACACCTACTGCTAGAGGGGTACTTTATACTATCACACTGGGTAGAATAGAGGACAGAAGAACAATGATTCAAACAGATTTATGAAGATGTATGTACCTCCTGGAATGTCTGACCAGATGTTCTAGCAAACAAAAGGTACAGCAGAAGTACAACAAAAAGAAAAAATATGGTCTTACTGTATATTATCTTTGCAAAAAATGTTTTCATACTGTAACTCACAGATGCTTGATTTCAATTGTGCATGTTACAGTATACATCCATGTGACTACAGTTGACTGCACAAAATAAATTAGGTATTATTTATTCAGATTCTGTGAGTTTTAACTCCAAATGATGCAACAGAATTGTTTGGCTGGAGTATTATTTGGTATGGTATGTATGGCTTAGTAAAAAGGATGTGTTGTAAAAGCAAAAGAAAAGTACATGAAGGAAACAAACCGACATGCAGTAACTGCAGAGCAACACAAAGTTCATACAGTAAGTAAAGTGATGATTACTTGCAGTTTACACTTAAGTTCTTATGTTATGAAGATAAACCGAAAATCAAGTGTGTAATTTGCCTTATGGTGTTTATTAATGCACACATTAAACTATTTTAAAACATCACTCTTTACTTGCCTATGTCAAAAATCATTTAAAAATGGGATCTTCAAGCTTAGTCTAAAAACTCTATACTTTGAAACACTCAAAAATTTCAAACAGCAAACAATCATTTTTACTTTTAATATTTAGCGAAAGTGCTCTGAAGGCCTTCTTTTAATATTACATTGGATTTCCATATTTAACTAAATCCATTCGTATTGGTAAATCATGATTATTCCTGCTGCGGTGGATGTCTGTAATGTTTGACAGTGAACAAGTACAGTTGGTCTCATAAAAATATACTGATTTCAGATTGGCTCTAAACAAATTTCAGAAATGACAGAGACTGAGGTAAGAGATTGAAAATGGTTTGTGCCCATGCACTCAAGCTTTACAAATCCACAAACACATACAATGTACTACACGTGTACAATGAACCTCAGCTGTTAAAATGTAATTGCTGCATTTGGAAAAATAGGAAAGTTGAATATATTTTGTTGTCTTATGCTATATTGCCAGAATCAATAACAGGAGCAGAATTGTTTGGAATACTTAATCAGTACACAACCAAGAAAACCAATCATGGGAGTTATTTAATGTTATTTATAGAGACAAGGCAAGAGTTACGTTTGGAAAAAAATAATTTCACAGCAAAAGAAGCAAAACATTGGTTTGACTCATTGTCGATGCTTAAATGCATGAATGACAACAATGTTCACATGCCTGATGGACTTCAATGATTGAAATTCAGATACATGCAATTTCTAACTGCTTCATCCAAATTCAAGACTACAGGGGAGCCAAAGCCTTCCCTGAGAAGCAACTGGTGCAAACAGTGCAAGGCAGGATACACTCTGGATGAAACACGAGTCCAGCTTTCCAAGAAGCCAATTAACTTTGTATGGTTAAAGTATGTCTTTGGACTGCGGGAAGAAACCGGAGCACCCAGCAAAAACCCACACAAACACAGGGAGAAGATACAAACTCTATGCAGATAGCTCCCATTTGCCACCACACATCTATGCAAATCTGGATTTTCTCATTGAAAATGATAGCTTTCACTGCACAAATACTGCATATATTACACCATATTTAAGAATTCTATGATTATCTTAATGTTCATATTTTTGATGTTGTAGGTATATGTCAGCACTATGAACCATTCTTATATTCCTATTTAAACAGTTCTAATTTTAAGTAAATGTGTTAAATATAATGGAATTCTGATTACACTATAACATATTCCTGTTTTTTTTTTTAATTGTTGAAAAATAGTAATTAGCAGTAGAGTGTCAAGGAACATCTTGGTCTCACTTCAACTGTGCTTTAGCTGATTGGATTAATATTCTCTCCCTCTCAGGGTGGAATGCGTGAATGTTATGGTACATTTTCTTTTGCGAAAGGACAGGGTTATCTTGGTGTAATAATTTGTCCATTGAAATTGTTGATTTTCTCAGTTTATACTTTCCCCAATGGCAGTACATGAATTATTCCCAGCCTTGATTCCTTAACCCGTGCTGACTCAATTTTGTTATAGCTTTTATAGTGATACAGCTCTGTCTCATGAATGTAAAATTCTTCAGGGAATGTTGGATCACATCACTACCCTAAGATGACTAAGGAACATCGTTTGAAATTTCTCCACTGCCACACTGTCATGTTACATGCAATCTAAACTCACAGTGCAACAGATGTGTTTGAGAAGACAGCCATTGTATTCACAGAAAAATTAAGGTAAAGTTCCTTGATCATTGTTTTGATGCTTGTTGAGCATTTAGCAAAACAAGGGAATAATTCTTAGACAATGTTCACCATTCAACTGGTAAAAGCAATTTTTACTTTTGTGGGAAATGGTGCAATAAAATTATCCAATATTGTTTTTCAATAAACGAGTTTGGCTGTGCAGACATCACACTCTCCAAGATTGCAATTTGGAAGAAAAATACTATATACAATAGGAGCTGGATAGCATTGGTAGGTGAGGCATTGCTTTCAGTAGTAAATCATGTCTTTGCAACAATCATGATTAGCTTGACATTGTATTGTGAGGTACAAATGCATACAGAGCAGATTTGGTCTGACAAGCACACATTCTCTTGGCCTTAACTCAGCAGACTTAGAAAAGATGATCTCTTTCCGAGGTAAGTGATTTTAAATCTCATGCCTTATTTAAATTGCACCGAATAAGCTGTTCCTGGAGATGCACTCTTTCCTGCTTATCAAAAAAAAAGGAAAAATAAGTGAAGGATGAGTAATAATTATTTCTTTTGTCCAATGCTTTATTTGTATCAAATGAGAATCCTGTGTACTTTTGATTTAGAATATGTATAGAATCCCCTCTTTTTGAATATTTGTATTTTCTATCCATGAAACATTATTTCCCAAATGGTTCAACTTTTTAGCAAGGGGTATAAATATTTGAAAATAGAACGGTGGCCTAAACATATCAGTTATGACTGGATGGATGTGTCCAGAAAGTTCATCTTTCTGTGATAACCCCTCCCCACAAAAGAGTACTAAAATTTACAACCTGAAATAGCAGGACTTTAATGCATATGGATATTTCCAACATCCAAATTGTTGTTTCTTCTTTCTAATTATCAGTGTGTAAATAACATGTACATAATAGATGTTTTTTCCTTAGCCTGATACAAAATGCAGCAAAGGCAAATCGTTTAAGAAGCATGTTATATGCTGTACAATTTCGCAACAGTGCATACATTTGTAAAGCTATTACAGTCATGATACACATAAAAAAGGGTTATATATCTATCACAAACATTTCCTTGTAGGCAATACGCTCACTACATAGCAAATTAATTGAATAGACAGCTTGCCCTCAAGGAAATCTGGTCTTTAATGAATTCTTAAAGTGAGAACATTTTGTGTACTTATCTAAAATTAATATTATATAGAAACCTCCTGTAACATATCGTATATGGAGCATAAAAAATGTATCGCTTGTAACTGCAAAAAATTAATAAAGGCATTATCAGGAAAATGACAGGGAAACTCGTGTCTTATTGAGCAAACATAGGTAAATTTAGTATGCTGATTAACACCATTCTTCAGCTGGGAGATCAGCAAAGAGCTTACTGCAAAAATTATAACCTAGTGGTTTGTGTAGCCACTGAGTAATATAGTACCTGTACATGCTTTGCACCATTTATTAATTGCTATCCTATGGAATTATATACAATTCCACTTATACTGTCTGGATCAACATGTGCCCATTTACAGTGTAACTGAACAGCTTATCCCTGTATCTGTGTTGCAGTGTCCTTTGAATATGTGACTCAGAGCCCAGTCAGAGATAATACCAGTTCTGGCACAAGAGGCAAAGAGTAAGATCTGCTTTGTATGGCTGCTATGGCTGTATTTGATAACTTCTTTCTAATAAATAGGGAACAAACATGGGAGAATCCGATCATGGAATCATGTGAATCTGACTCGTTTCGGAGTCAGTGAGATCAGAGAAAAAGGGTTGAATTTCCCATATGGTTAAAGGGAAAAGCACATTATAAAACAAAAATGCTTTAGTTTTCCCTGACTGATTATGTCAGAAGGGAAAAGGACATTGCAGCTCTCCCATATTTTAAAGCACATTTACAGGAGAATCCGCAGTAGCAAAACAGGGTGGGATTATTTTTACACCAGGGTTACCCCATCCTCCCTGTCACACACTGGTCTTTGAGCCGTAGACACCACACATCTTTCCAGATTTTTCCACAAAT